CTGATAGTTTCCTGAAGGCTTTGGGGAATTTTCCAATTGATAGTGCAAGAGCTCCTGTCAATGCTCTGGTTGATTTGTGGAATGGCACAATGGTCAGGGCAATCGACACAATCCACAATTAAGTTGTAGATGTGGGATGTCCTTTTTGGGCCAACATGACATTCAACAGTAGCACCACCAAGCCTGAGAGCCAATTGATATCACTTCCTGGAACCTTCTGGCTGGGGGAGAAACATGAGGGGAGGACAGATACTAAACATCTGTCCCTCCCTCTTCTGGAAAGACATGTTAAACCCCTAGTGCCATATCTTCCCCTGACCATAACCACCCCTATGGGGGCACCCACCTGCTCCCCAGGAGCTCCCATAACAATTAAAACAAAACAAAAAACAACAAAAAAAAAAGTTAAAAACAAACAAAACCAGGATGCAGTGTGGTTAAAATGGAGCCCTCTACACAGTACTTCAGCTCCAAAAATAAAATAAAAATCAAGAGAACCCTTGGCCTGGCCCAGCCCTGATCAGCCCCAACCAGCCCTAAACGGCTTATGCCTTTAAGCTGCTGCCCTTCAGCTGCGACCATTCAGCTGCACCCGTATGGCACCCGTGCCCTGGTGTGGCTCTCACCCACCCCAGAAGCAGTAAGAAGTGGTGAGAGGTGGGGTTGGTGCAGGTCCTGCCAGGCAGCAATGGCAAGAACATCCCTGGGACCCACGGCAGTTCTGGTGTCAGCGGCAGGCAGCTCTGGAGTGAGGGGTGATGGAGAGCCAGTCCCAGGCCAAGCTCATCCCTACCTTAGCTTCCTGATGCCTTCCCTGCAATTCTGTGCAACCTGCCTGCATTTGTCCTGCACAGCTTGGCCTTCCTTCCACTTTCTGCCCATGTCCCTTGATGTTTTCAGATGATGCCTTGGCTTTTCATGAAGCTACATCTGCCTCCTCTGTCATCTTCTACACCTTCCTGTTAGAAGTATTTGAACTTGTGCCTGAAGCATTTCCTATTTATATTTTAAAGATACCCCACCTTTCTTGAGTTCATTTTCACTTTAAGAGTGGCTTGGCATTTTTACCCTGAATTGGTAAAAATTGGGGGGGGGGGGTTAAATCCTGGGTGCATGTTTGGCTATTTTTACTTTTAGTTTCCTCATTCTAGTCAGCAGGTTTGGATAAAAGCTGCCTTCTACCATCTCAGGATGTTGGTGCACCAGAATTCACTGTGCCTGTACTGAGAAGGAGCTGCTGTTCAGGTGTTTGAGAGAGGATCTTCTTGAGGTTTCCTGAAGATGTCAGGACTGACCTTGGCACCTCCTGCATGGGAAGTAGGGGCCCCAGCCTGTTCCATGGTCCTTCCCTTGATGAGGTCTGGATGACTCTGCAGCACAGAGAGTTTGGAGATGCCCTTATGACTCTTGGATTTAGCTTTGCTTGGAAAAGGTTCAGGGGAATTCCTGGAGGATAGGAAGGGGATCTCTTGCCTGATCCCTACAGAGAGGTTCCATTCTAGGAGTGCATCTACTATATGGGGAAGGGGAAAAGGAAAGGAAGTTCTTGTGTACACCTCTTCCTTGTGCGGTTCCCCATCATCTCTTTGGCTGAATAAGGGCAAAGCTCATTGATTTCCTGGATGGAAAAAATTTCCTCCACAGTATTCTCTTCTGTGTTTTCCTTTGACAAATTATTGAAGGAGGTATGTTCAATAAAAGGTGTTCAGCCAGAAATGCCTTTGGTAAGGCACCCTGGGGGAAAGGATCCTGGCACACTTTTCTTGAAGAAAATTATTTCACCAGTTCTGTGCTTGTCCTCATCTGTGTCCCAATATTGCTCCCAACATGGCAGATCAATAATAAGGAACTACCAGCACATCCTGGCTTTGGTGTTTTCCATAACTGAGCTCAACAAGGATCCAGACCTCCTTCCCAACATAACACTTGGCTTCCGCATCTATCAGCATGAGGACCTGGCCAGAGTAATGCATATGAACAACATTCACCTGCTGTCTACACGGGACAGAATGATTCCTAATTACAAATGTGACAAGCAGGATCAACTAATCTCCATCATACAGGATTTTGTCTCCAAATCTTCATCAGACAATGCTGCCTTAATGGGCATCTACAAGATCCCAGAGGTGAATGCGTTCATCTGGAGACAGATGAGAGGGACCTGTAGAGAGAAGGGTCAGCTCTGAGAACAGATTCATCCCTGCAGTGCATGTTTTTCTTTAATACTGGATGAAAAGGTAGGGGGGCTTCTCACATGGTGAGGTTGTTGTTTGACTACCAAAGAATGGAATGGTTTTTACCAAGTATGGCTGATGGAGACTGGCCCTAAAGCCCCAAAGCTCTGCAGATGCATACAAGGATATGCATCCTTCAAGTGTGAATCGATCGTGCATTTTGCCATGATTAGTCCTTCTGCCAGGGCAAGGTCCATCTCACTCCTGATGTTTGTAGACACGTCTGCGCTATGGGTGGACATTTGCCCCATGGTGCATGGGGCGGAGAGGGGGAAAACTTAGATCTTCCCTTTGTACTCTTGTATCCCAGCTGAAAGAGGGATGCCTTTTGTGGGATAGTATTCCATGCAATTCAACTCATGGCTCCTAGAGGATGGAAGCTTAATGCATAAAAGAACTATCCTTGGTTTCAAAATGCATCCAAATAAGTGTTATGAAGGACTATCAGGAATTCATTGCTTCAGCTCGTAACCCAATTGCTCAATTATATTCAGGGCAAAAGCAGTGCATTCCTCTTTTTCTTCCAGATTAATCCCCCCAAAATTCCTCAGTACGGGGGCCTAGTCTGGCTGCTGCTGCATTTCCACTGGAACTGGATCGGACTGCTTGTTCAGAGCAATGACCATGGCGAGCATTTCCTCCAGGCACTGTCTCCCCTGCTGCAGCAGGAGGACATCTGCATTGCATTCACTGAAATGTTCTCAACAATTGGTCCTGCCCGGGTGCATGAAATCACAACAGGATACATTCCTCATGTATGGTTAGAAGCAGAAGTCATAATTTACTTTGGTGACAACACTGCAACACTACAGTTAACTATTCAGTTACATAATCATGAAGAAAGTGGAAAGATCCCATTTTGGAAGGTTTGGATGTTGACCTCGCATTCAGAATTTGAAGCAAGTGTTCCCTCTGAGTCCAGAGTAATTTTAAAGACCCTTCATGGAGCTTTGCACTTCAGAGCCCACACAAGGGATATTCCAGCATTCAAGGCTTTTTTCCTGTCTTTAGATCCATTCCACCCTCAAGGAGACATTTTTCTTCGAGTGTGGTGGAAATTGGCATTTCAGTGTGCCTTTCTGAGATCAGGAAAACCCCCACCATATTCAGATCCTGTGTGTACAGCGAGGGAGATGCAAATGGACCCAAGGGAGTTCCAGTTCAACTTGGGCATGTCCACTTCCAGCTATCGCATCTACAATGCCATCTACTGTGTGGCATATGTGCTACATGGCCTGTTCTCATCCAGAATGAAATACTCACAGATGGGGGAAAGGAATCAGCTTCTGAATATTCAGCCATGGCAGGTAAAGCCCACATCGAGATGTCATGAACTTATCCAAGGAGCCCTGGTGGTTGTTCAGTCAATGAACTTGGAGAGAAAGAATAATCTGGGAAGTAGTGAAATTTAGAGAACTCATGAGAAACTTTCCCTGTGGATTTATCTCCATGGATGCAATTTCCTTGAAGGAACATTCAACGTAATCACATTCAGCAGGGAATGCTGGTGCATTGGTGGATTGTACATATTGAGAATAGAAGAAGCATTCAAGCTTCAGTCGCAGATACATCATTCCAGTTCAATATAATTATGCAGAAAGGGCTATGGGCCTGCCTAACTCAGAATATTTCCTTGTGGGCAGCTGGGGCAGGACCCACATGCTGGACTCCTGGCTGCTCCGGGCAAATGATTTCTATCTCCCTTGTCATGGTATGAGGACATTTGTAGGAAACAGACGGCAGGCAAAGATGCCCAAGCCAGTGTGCAAGCTTGCCTGCCAAGGTATCACCAAAATAGTTTGCATCAAAAGAATAAAGTTCACAATAGTGTAATGAGGGAAAGCAGGTCTCTGAAATGGATTGGAGTCAGAGAGTATTATGAAACGCTTCCCCTTAGTCTCCCCTGCTCTGAATATTTTTGCTTTTTCAGATACTAAATCCTCTGAGGAATGTCCGCTTTAACAACAGTGCTGGGGAGGAAGTCTTTTTTGCCAAAAAAGAGAGGAGATATGAGATTCTGAACTGGAGGTGGTCTCCAAATGGAACTTTGTACTCTACGAAGATTGGATGGGTTGATCACGGTGCTCCCCCAGGCCAGGACTTCTCCATCCACTCTGCAACAATTGTGTGGGCCACAAAGGTGGGGCTGGGGTGAAACATTTGGGTCATGGAAGCAGAAACATGACAGAATTCCACTCCTTCAGAAAAGATGCTGTGCTTTTGGAGACATAAGTCCCACTCTGTGTGTGGAAGTGGGAAGCTATAAATCCAACTGTATTTTATTGCATTAATGATATTTATTTATTTGTCAGTCTGCTAAATAAATAAATAAATAAATAAATAAATGCTATTGTCCATTTGTAAATGACAAGCTTTGCTCACCAGAAATCCCATGTTCTGTCCCTGGACACTGCAGGGAGGTTCAAAATCTTGGCCCATGCCTGAGGTACTGCCAGTGCTAGACAAAAAGGGGAATGATGGATCTAGGGTTTGACCCAGTAGAAGGCAGGATCCAAAATTCCTGGCTCTGCCTGATAGACTCCTCTGTCCTAGTGTTGCTGCAGTAGGACACATCCAGAAATTGTTCATTCCACTAGACGTGTGACCCCATCTGCCAAGCAATGCAAAACACAAGCTGGTGGACTGACTGTTGAGTAGCTCTTCATTGTATTTCTCTCTTTAAAATATTTTGAAGTCTTTATTTCAATTTTAGACAATGCCAAAGGGGAGGTGTGTGGAGAGGTGCACTCCTGGGCACTGGAGAAGAGTTCCAGAGGGAAAGCCGGTTTGCTGCTATAGATGTGAAAACTGTGCAGAAGGGAAGTTTTCCACCTACACAGGTACCTCATAGAGTAATAGCAATGCATAAATACAGAAAATAATGAATTAAGAGTGGTGCGGGACCCACAAAATGCACCCAGAAGGAGACGATTGTACTGTTACTGAAGATTTTATCCCCCCTCTATACTGCAGACATCTCTTTTCTGGTTTACAATGTGTTCAACATTTCCAGAAGATACGTTCCTTGCAAATAATGCAAATTATGCCCAGTACCTTATGAATGCCATTATTCAAAGATTCTTATCCATCCTTCTATTTCCTAATGCTTCCAAAGCTCCTGTTTCTAACCTGGCTGGGTTTATATGAGACCTAGAAGTGTTTGGTCAAAACTCAGGGCAACTGGAGGTTCCCATTTGCAAGATTTCACTGCAACCAGAACCAGATTGCCCCTTTTTCTGTACTGGTTTCTGCAGCCTGGTCACCAGCCTCAGCACAGCTTACTGCAAAATAAGAAGAGAAATTGCGCTTAATATGCTTACTTTAGTTTGTGACCAAATGCACGTAACAGTACCAGTGACAGATTTTAGCACTTCTTGATGACAAAAGACTGAACATAAATCATATAAAAGCATGTGAGGAGGGGAAGTTTTTTATTTTTATTTTTTATACTTATGGCCAATTACCCAAAGCTTAATTAAATTAAATGATTAAGGGAGGAAAGGGAGATTTCCAGATCTTCCTTTGAGCATGGGGGCTTCCCCCAGAGAAAGTATTCTGGGTCAAGGTTGAGATGGATCCATAGCTATTGCCCTTTTCAGATGCAGCTCACTGTGCTCCGTGCCCACAAGAGCAGTTCCCAAATGAGAACCACGACCGGTGCATCCCCAAGATGATCCACTTCCTTTCCCATGAAGAGACACTTGGTATCCTTTTAGTATCTCTGGTTCTTTTCCTCTGTCTCAGCACATCTGCTGTGTTGGCAACTTTCATTAAATATCATGACACACCCATTGTCAAAGCAAACAACCAAGACCTCAGCTACGCCCTCCTCATCTCTCTCCTGCTCTGTTTCCTCTCCTCCTTCCTCTTCATCGGTCAACCCACAAAGGTCACCTGTCTACTCCGACAAGCTGCTTTTGGAATCACCTTCTCTCTTGCAGTTTCTTGTGTGTTGGCAAAAACTGTCATGGTGGTCTTGGTCTTCATGGCCACCAAGCCAGGAAACATGGCAAGTTGGATCTTGGGGAGACCACTGACAACCTATACTGTGCTTATCTCTTCCCTCATCCAAGCTGTGATCTGTGCTGTGTGGTTGCTGACCTTTCCCCCTTTCCCCAACTTGGACTTCCATTCCCTATCCAGAGAGATCATCGTGAAATGTAATGAAGGTTCCATCACCATGTTTTACACTGTCCTGTCCTACATGGGCTTCCTGGCTCTTCTCAGCTTCCTGGTGGCTTTCCTGGCCAGAAAACTTCCCGACAGCTTCAATGAAGCCCATTTCATCACCTTCAGCATGCTGGTCTTCTGCAGTGTGTGGGTCTCCTTTGTGCCCACCTACCTGAGTACCAAGGGGAAGTATGTGGTGGCTGTGGAGGTCTTCTCAATCTTGGCCTCTGGGGCTGGTCTCTTGGGATGCATCTTTCTCCCCAAATGCTATATTATTCTCTTGAAGCCCAGTCTCAATAGCAGAGACCATCTCACAAGAAAAACCTAAACACAACATTTCAATATGTATTGTAATTGTGTTCATTATTTGCATCTAAATAAATCAATATTCTGAATTACCTTTTTTCATCACTGGATTTAATGAGGAACCCCCTAATGACAGCTATTAGGAAAAATCATGCTTACTCTTACGTGTATTTTCACCCTGTGAGCATCCTCTGATAATACCAGGATTAACATAGAAACATAGAAACAGAGCGAGAGAGAAGGGGTCTCCTGGGCCGTCTAGTCTGACCTCCAGCACCAGCCGGCTCTGCTCACAACATGCCCACCATGTGCATATCCAGCCTATCTTTGAACACCCTCACCAATGGGGCCTCAACAACCTCCTGCAGCAGCCCATTCCACACCCTTGGGGTCCTAACTGTCATGAAGTGCTTCCTGGCATCTAAATGGAACCTTGGTTCCCTGAGTTTTGCTGCGTTGGAGTGCATCCTGCCTTCCTCTGCAGTGGAGAACAGGTCTCTACCCATCTCTATGTGACATCCCTTCACATACCTATATGTCGCTGACATATCCCCTCTGAGTCTCCTCTTCTCCAGGCTGAAGAGACACAGTTCCCTCTGTCTCGCCTCATACCCCATTAATGGGAGAATGTATTACATACAAGGTATTTGGACAAAATTCAAATGTTATTCCTGGGAATTGGTTATTTGTGATCACTAGAAATGTAGCCACAGAAATGGGTACAGTTTGAGGAGGAAATTCAGCCTGGACATAGGAATGGAATCCCATAGAATTTAGCATTGCTTGCAGGGAAGAAGTTTCCCACACATCACCCTTTCTTCTTGCCCTACTTTATGAAAATACAGGGGTTTCTTACACTGTAACTCAGCAGCTCCTGGCTCCTTTCATTACTGCCACTGTAGTCCTGCAGCATGAGGAAGTGCATGGACCTTTCCCCAGGGGTGAAGGGAAGACTCTTCTCTCTGATGTTTTTATGCATGCACGTCATCTCTCAGCTGCAATGGATAGCACAGTTCAGCTGGGTTCTGGATGAGTTCGGCTTAAAATAGGGTAGTGAAAGGCCTTTACACACTTGAGAGAAGCTTCTAATACACAACGACTTGATGTGTCTGCCTTCGAGATATTTTGAGGACTCCCATTAGTTGGGTATGAAATTGTTAAAACAGAAGCATAGAAACAGAATGAGTTAGAAGGGGCCTGCCAGGCCATCTAGTCTGACCCTCGGCTCCAGCCCTTCCCACTCATGACATGCCTATGTTGGAAAAGAGGAGGAAAAATCTCTGTCTGAGCACAAGTCTCTATATCACAGTCACAAAACATCTGTGCTGTTGTATCCATCCAACCAACATAAAATGCACACAACATGAAAACGCAACCTTTGTTGAACTTGGGTGCTCTACATACCAGCTGCTTGCTTTCTATAAAGAAAAATGTGCTCTCTGATGGAGTTTATGCACAGTGAGAATCAAGTTTGCAACACATTCTTGTCTGACTCGAGCGCATTCTGAATGCATGCAAACCTGAATTAGCACTCATTTCAAACAAGCAACTGTTGTGCAACCTTTTGGATGAAATGAATGCCTCCAGGAAAACATTTTAGGATGCAATCAGTGCTTTGCCCCTTTGTCTTTTTTACCTGCCAACATCCTTGGCCTGACAAAGGGGGTGCATAGTAGGCTAATATAATGGAACATTTGGTGCCTTCAATCAATTTTTTGCAGCTTTTCTACCCACAAAACTCATGGGCCATTGATGGAAAGGAGGCTTTAGCAAAAACAGGCTGTCTTAGCTCTGCCACCCTTTGATGCTGGGTGAAAAACTCACCCTGCTGTTTCCAGGATTCTCTTTTCTGAATTTGCAGCCTTATTAGGGTGCATCAGCAATATTTGGCAATATAGCTACAGGGAACCGACTTCTTGTTAATGAAAGGTAAAATAGTAGCCTCAGAAATAAGGATTAGGGTAAGGAATCTTCTCCACCTGACAGCCTCCTCCAAGAGTTTCATCCATGCCTATCCAATCAGTTGTGGCATTGCAGTGACAGGTTGGTAGACTCAGGAGTCAGAAGATGGGCTTTTAACCAAGCCCAGGGAAAGAGAACAAAGTCATCCAGTCTTTGGACAGAGACAAAGCTTGAGTCTGAACACTTAAACTGAACAGGTTGACTCACCTGATCAAACGCGGCAATTTGAGTTGCCTGATATTTCATTTCCCCATTTCCAGAGGCCAGTTACCCCCTCCCCAATACTTTGGATACCAGAGTGTAAGAATGATCAAGTTGCTGCTCCAAGGACATCATTGGCAGCTGGGAAAGAGAAGGTTTGCAAACAGAAATTAGAGCAGCAATCCTATGCTTAGACAGAAAAGGTGCTACAAATTCCTTGTCTTCCACTTTTCCAGTGGTTGAAACAAACATGCATATTCACAACATTGGTTTTAGAAGGCTTCCTTCCTTAAAATTCCCCTAGCCCCTATTAAGAGTACTTAAAATGTCCTTTGTTGAAACCAATCCTCTTTCCACAAGGCAAAAAAAGATTTAAATACTTGAGGATTCTCCCCCATTCAAAACTGCCTTGCCTCTTTCAGTGTTAACCCAAGCCTTCCTCCATCCTGTGGATGAAAGCAGAGTGGATCTAACTCCCAAAGGAACTTTGTAGTTTGCACATGCACAAGGGATCTGTGTCCATGCTACTTCTGTGCCATTAAGTAGTGAATCCTTTCTGCTAGAGCATCTACTTTGTTCTCAGCTCTATTGACTTGCCATCCACCTAAGAACTTGATAGTGTTTCCAACTTGAAGGCCTGCTGCAGCCTGGGCTAGCCAGAACTCTTCCCACCTCTAAGGAAAAACCACCCTGATTTCCTCTTAGTCATCAGTTGCTCTAGCAAACAAGGTAAATTCTTTTGGCTGCTTGGTCAATAATCAAACATGTGTCTCCTGGAACTACCCCCTTCTTTTTCCTCTTCCAAAGGATGCGAAGTGGCGTTCTGCTCCCCTTTTCTTTCCTTCAGTCACCTTCATGCACCAAATCACCATTTACACAGTCAAGACTCTCAAGCTCTCCCACACACCATGCACCCCAGCAATCAGGGTGCTGTCCCCCCCACCCCACATCTAAGGTTAGTAGATCTCTTGCTATTGTGAGCCTTTCCATTGTTTTTCCTACAATGCACATAAGGCTAACGGGTCTGTAATACCCCATGTCCCCTCTACAACCCTTTTTTTGAAAATTGGGACCACTGACACAGACCACTGAGGTCTCCACGATGCCTCAAAAATAGAGAACAGTGGTCATGAGAGAACCCCCACCAACTTTTGAAGTACTTTTGGGTTTAATCCATCAGGCCTGGCACCTTTGCAACATCCAGTGCACTGAGGAGCTCCTTGACTTCTAGGGGGATGACTGTAATCTGTGCCCTTAAATCTCTGGACCCATCTAATCTCCCAGAGGAGTTCTAGGTGGGATATTTTTCCAGTTGGTCAAGGTTACAGAGAATCCCTGCCTGCTTTCTGTTATGCTAACCAAGCAAAGAAAGAAAAAACCTTTGCCCCAGCAAAGTAGGAAATGCACCCCTTCCCTTTCTGCACTGCAGTGGCAACCTATTACTTGCATGGAGAAAATAACTGACTAAGCAGAATTCCCCCAAAGCTGAAGGATTGAACTGTGCCAGGGAAGGCCTGAAGGAGGTGAGAGTCAGGATGGCCTGGTGGTTTGGGTGCCGGGTGGTAGACGTGAGGGGTCCTAGCTCCATTCCATGCTCATCTTCAAAGCTCCCTAAATGGCAGGTAGGAGTAGAAGCCAAGGTCCCCACAAGGCCTAGCTGTGCAGCTGCCCTCGTGCTGAAGGGGCTTGGGGAGGTTGGTGACCTGAACATTTTTCCAAATACTGTCAAACTGCATTAGTGTTGCCCTGTCAAACTCCGATCAAGATTTGTCAGCTGATTCTTCTGGAAATCTCAAAGACTGAAAACAAATGTATTAGTAGGGAAAAGAAGACAGAACACAAAGCATAGCTACATAGACTAGTGGGAAAATTTTTCACATGCTGCTTCCCTGTGTATAAAATGGAGGTTTTATTTTTTCAAAGTACTGAATAATACACAGCAGTTTTGTTCACTCATTTCATTTATATACTGTCCACATACCTCAAATGGTTCACAAAAGCAGACTCTTGAGCTCTTGATGGACAATATAAAAGCAATTTATGCTTTCCTTTTCATCATGAGACGCTCCTTGGTATTCAGGGCAGGTCTCACTAGAATAATGTGGCACTTGGGGAGGAAGATGCAGCCCAGCAACCCAGCGCTGGAGGCCAAGATGGAGAAGACCTGCACGGCCACAATGTACTTGCCCCTGGTGCTCAGGTAGGTGGGAACGAAGGACACCCAGACACTGCAGAAGACCAGCATGCTGAAGGTGATCAGCCTGGCCTCGTTGAAGGCCCCGGGCAGCTTCCTGGCCAGGAAGGCCACCGTGAAGCAAATGGCAGCCAGGAAGCTCAGGTAGCCGAGGGCAGCATAGAACATGGCCACAGAGCCTTCATTGCACTGCAGGATGATCTACCCAGGCTGGGAGTGCTTGTCAGAGTCAGGGAAAGGGGGAGAGGTCCCTAGCCAGATGGTTCAGAGGACTACTTGACAGCTGGAACAGCAGATGACAATGGAGTTGGCCAAACTCTTCCCCAGCCAGTTCCTTGCCCTGTTACCTGGATTGGTGGCCAGGAAGGCGAGCACCACAGTGACTGTTTTGTCCAGGAGGGAAGAGATGGCAACTGAAAAGATGATGCTGAAGGCTGCTTGTCGCAGGAGGCAGGTGTTGCTTCTTGGCTGGCCAATGAAGAGGAATGAGCATGCAAAGCAAAGCAGGAGGCAAACAAGCAGAATGTACGAGAGGCCTCGGTTGTTGGCCTTGACCACTGCCGTTTCTTTGAATTTCCAAAAGATTCCCAATATGCTTCCTGTGCTTATGGACAAGAGTAGGGCCACACAAGTGAGGAACATCCCCAAATATTCTTCATAGGACA